TTAGACTGTCAATGAACGCGTTGCGACAAAATAAAAATGGATTGAATTCATTTCTTGCAGGCATACCTGAGGGAGTTAATGTTCGCAATCAACGAGGAGGGTGTTCACGTCATTGGCTACTTAGCGTGGAGTCTCATCGACCTTTACGAATGGCTCAGTCAGTACAGGTTAGTCAAGAAAATCTCATCTCACAATAATGAGATTGCGAAAAAAATGCACACTAGGCATGTGCAGTTCGCAAGCAGAAATGGCGTTACTAATGGCGTATGAATGGCGTATTCGGTGGTTTCTCTTTCCGCTTCGCCACTTGTCCGACATACCATTTTTTGTGGTAGTAACTGTTTTCTTTGACCCTAGATACACGTTCGGCTTGGTGCACGTGGACTACGCCGGCGGCTCCCTGAACCGCACTCTCAAGAGGGAGTCATCAGCGTTCTTCATTGAGCTGGCTGAAACCCGCAAGGTTCCTGTTGTGCCATCTGGCGGGCAGCGACTATCTGCCCCTGCTGCTGTTGCAATTGTATCCGTCGCCGCTGTTCTCATGTGGCCATCTGTACTATTCTATGTCTAAAGAGGTGCTGCTGCATGACTGTACTCAGTTCGCCGAGAACCTGACCCAACAACCCACCCCACGCTGCCATTATGTATATACAACCTAATTAAGTAATAAAATAACACTAATTTAAACAGTTGTGAATCCCTTCGGTCTTTCCAGCAAATATTATTAATTTAAAAACATTATTTCTGACATCTTTTTTGCATCCAAATAATGCCAGCCCCGCCAGTGCACTTCCCCGCGTTTCCAGCCACCTCTTTCTCACAGGGTACGAACGCCGCGCGGTCTGGCCGGTCAGGGAAAGGGGGTGGGGACAGCTGCTGCCAACAGGCCCCACGAGCTGTTTTGGGTCCGGCCTGGGTCCGGCTGACAGGAGGCGATGTGCGGTAAGTTGCCGACCAACAGGGATTTTTCAAAGAAAATTGCCTACCTCTCATAGTATGCGGCTTTTTGTGAGTGACAGAGGGCGCAGGGGGCGACTCAGAGCAGACAGGTCTAGGCTACGTCGCGCTCATGCCGAGGCTCATGCACCGACCATCGACGCGAAGGCCGGGGCCCCGCCGTCGTCGCCCTCCCCCCTCCCCAGCGACGTACATTCAATTATATTATCCACTTGAGAATTTTTGTCGTTTTCACGTTTTCACGCTGCAATCGCGGGGAGCACCGAAAAGCGCCGCGCGTGCCTGCGCGCCTCCCGCCGGCGTGAGCGGGCGAGCAGAGAAGCGGGGAGCAGGCGGGCAGGGTGGGGTTCGGCGTTGACCGCCGCTGCCTCACCGTCTATCTCCTATCTCCCCGCTCCTCCGCTCCCCGCCCCTCGCCCGCCGCACCGGCGTGGTGCGCCTGAAAGGTGAAAGGTGGACAATTTGCGCCACAGAACCCTTGTATTTAGGCAACCGAACAGTGCAAGGCGATGCGCTCGCCTGGTTCGCCTGCCCGATCCCGATTAGAAACAGTAGGGAACGCCCCCCCCCCCCCCCATGCTCCACGCTCTTACGCTTTACAACTGATGCAGTATAGGCTCTCTCTCTCTCTCTCACGCACGTCAACACCCTTCAAGACCGCTTCAAGGCTCACGATTCCCCACTCGGAGGTTTAGTCTAGTTGTACGCACTCATCACTATTTGCCTCCTCCAGACCCCCCTCCCAACGCAGCCCCACACTGTCCCACACCACACGCACGCTCTCTGCAGCAGAGCCGTGTTGTGATCGGGCCGCGGCCTCGTCAGCTCTGCGTCAAGCCTAATGGGAAAGTGTTTTCCTCGATAACATCTGGCAAACATCAAAGTCACCAAATGCAGGGCGAACCGGACGATCACCTTCCTCCCTGGTCCAAAACTTATGGACCCACCCTATGTGGCGGTGCACCGGGCCCCGCCCCCTCAAAAAAAGGGACCCACCAGAGGTGCCTTTGTCTAAGCGTTCGGCTCGGGGCGGGCGAGGGGGCAGGGTGGGCGGCCGTGCCAGTCGCAAGAGACTTTACGACTTCCTGAGGCGACCGCATGTGCATATGCCAGGGATGGTGTTCCACTTCGAACATGCTCAGTAGGGCGCGTCCTCAAACCATGATCGTGTTGCAGGTGCGACTCGTGTCCCCAAAATGGGCTCATAAAATTGTTGCAAAACTAGCCGCCCCCTCACACGGCGCCCCCACCGAAGTTGCCCCCCC